AAAAACATAAAATAATGCCAAGTTTTGTTGGCTTGATTTGCCTGAAAGATTAGCAATTCCTGTAGCCTGTTAAACTTCACACACACTTCTTATCATTCCTGCACACAACTCGAAAGTGCACACACATTTGCTTGCACACTTGCATGCATTTCGATGTATCATCACATCTCGTGCACTTGCGCTCCTGCCAGCCCGCCAGCCACCTTTGTGCTGTAGGTTAAAAGGCCCGGCTGTCAATCAGTGCAGCTGCTGACATCAGCGGACATGGCACAGCACAAAGTCTGTGTTTTAAAAGGAGCTACCGATTGATGCCGACAGGAAGGAGCACTCACAACAAGAGAGGAAGAGAGGAGATGTGGGGGGTGAGGAGGCTAGAGGTGCATCAGGGATGCAGGGGCCCACTAACTGGGTTAAGAAAGTGCAAGCTACCCCCCACCACCAGCCCCCTTTCACTCTGCTCCAAAAAGAGAGAGACAGAGAGAAGACCCTTTTAGCAGGGCACAAATTGCCAGTGGGGCAGAAATGAAGTGTTTGAGGGAAGCTCAAGTCCAGACCGATGTCAGCACCGAGCCTGCGGATGGACTTTTCATTAACTGCATGACTGTACGTACTGTTATACCACCATATGTGAAGGAAAGATGTAAAGGAAATTTGATCAAACCAGTTACACTTTGCCATTACAGTCTGAAATGAACTGAATTACTTTTTTTCCACAATCTTAACTTTTACTTTGTTGGCTGTCGTAGTTTATCAAATATTATTATTATGAATGAAAGAAGCCGTGTTATCATCTTTGAAATGTCACAAGTTTACTAATCACAATATGTATAATAAACAATATCTTATAATGCACACTACACTGCTAGTCTGAAAGGAATTATCATATTAAATTCAACTAGAGGAATTGCATTTCCTGCGAAAATGCAGTGTGAATGCTTATTGCTGAAGAACTTGCTGAAAATCAGCTGAAATTAGCTAAAAAAAACATGCTGAAATGAAAGAACAAGCCTAAATTAGCAGAAGAAATGAGAAAGAACACATATTTGCCAAATTAGGTTTAAAGAAGGGCAGCACGGTGGCACAACTGGTAGAACTGCTGCCTCTCAGCCCTGCTGAGAGGCAGCAGTTACTCAGCAGGCAGCAGAGGCAGCAGGTCCCTGGTTCAAATCCCGGTCTGGGGGCCTTTCTGGGTGGAGTTTGCATGTTCTCTCCGTGCATGCGTGGGTTTTCTCCAGGTACTCCGGTTTCCTCCCACAGACCAAAAACATGCATGTTAGGCTGATTGGTAACTCTAAGTTGTCCCTAGGTGTGAGTGAGAGAGTGAATGGTTGTTTGTCTCGTTGGAGACCTGTCATGTGTGTACCCCACCCCTCGCACAGCGATTGCTGGACATAGGCACCGGCGACCCCTGTGACCCAAAATGGAAGAAGCGGGTAAAAGATAATGGATGGTTTATATAAGCTGAAATGAGCACAAAAATTAGGAAATCAGCTAAAAAAAGCTAAAAGAAGCAAAAGTAGCTGAAAGGACAGAAAGAAGCTTAACCTACAAGAAGGAAGTGAAAAGAGCTGAAATCAGCTAAAAAAAATGTGGAATTAGCTGAGAAAGCTCAAATTTGCATAAAACGGCTAAATAGTAGCTGAAATAGCTGAAAAGGCTATAAGTTGCTGAAAAAGTTGAAAGGAGCATAACAAGCTGAATTTTTTTTTTTTTTAGCCTTTATTTATACAGGTAGTCTCATTGAGCCGCGAGAACTCATTTTCAAGAGAGACCTGTTTAGGGAGCACATGGTGGGGGTTAAGGGCCTTGCTCATGGGCCCAGGGTGGGGCGAATGAGGGTGGGGGCAAGTGTGGGTGTTTCACCTACCCCACCCACAATTTTTTGATGTTGTCGGGGCCGGGGCGTGAACCGGCGATCTTCGCATCACAGGCCCACCTCTCTAACCTCTGTGCCACCACTCCCCCCAGAAGGAAGTTAATTAGGCTGAACGTAGCAGAAGTTACCAAGAAAAAATTTAATTAATCTGAAAACAGGCTAAAACAATTCTAAAACGGTAGCTGAAAAGATAGAACAAGCTTAAATTACCAGAAGCAAGCAGAAAGAACATGTTTGACCAATTAGGCTGAAAGAAGCAGAAATGAGCACAAAATGTGGAAGTTATCTGAAAAAAAGCTGAAATGAGCAACAACAAAAAAATCCAGCTCAAAAGTAGCTAAAAAGGCATAAAGAAGCTAAAATTACCAGAAGTGGAGAGAGCACATTTTTGCTGAATTAGGCTGAAAAACATTTAAATGAATTCAAAATTATTTTATTTTATTTTATTAACCTTTATTTAACCAGGCAAATCCCATTGAGATCACTGATCTTTTTTGCAAGTGAGGCCTGGGCCTGAAGGCATCCTAACCTGCATGTTCTTGGTCTGTGGGAGAAAACTGGAGTACCCGGAGAAAATCCACGCAAGCATGAGAAGAACATGCAAACTCCACACAGAAAGACCCCAGGTCCAACTGGGGATTGAGCCCAGGACCTTCTTGCTGTGAGGCAACAATGCTAACCACTGAACCACTGTGCTGCCAAAAATGTGGAATTACGGTAGCTCAAAAAGATTGAATTAACATGAAAACAGCTAAATAGTATCTGAAATATTGGAAAAAATTAAACTTGCGTAAATGAGCTTAATGGAGCATAACAAGGTGAAATTAACAGAATGAAGTTTAAAAAAAAGCACATCTGAAAGGAGCACAAAACGAATGAAATGAGCGGAAAATAGCTGAATTTTTTTTTTACATTTGCACAAGGAAGCTGAAAGAAGTTGGACCAGAACAAAGTCTGAAAGGAGCAGTAAAAGGTTGTAAACAGATCTAAAGATTTGAAGGATATAAAATGAGCTCAATTCACTTCCTATGAGAAAAAAATGGCAGAAAAGGCTACATTTTTCAAAAAGCTAAAGTTGCACCTATACCAAAAGTCCTAGCAAGATTGTCCTGAAAGAGCTGAACATTTTGATGTATGATTTGTTGAAATAGCTTGAAATATGCAAAGACATATGCAAAGAGGGCACATATGCAAAGAGGATCGAGGGTC